AATTCCGCTCTTGTTTGCCGGGCGTGTGGCCCACGAAATAGGCCACAACTAGCGACAGTGTGACGACACCGACGCCGACGGTTGTGGCGCCGAACCAGGCAGCGAAATCCACGTCGCCTACCACGGGATCTCCAGGCTGGAAAAGGGCGCCACGGAACAGGCCCAAGATCACCATTCCGATGACCTGCAATAAATGTTATGCGAAATAATAAATAGGTACATCATGAAAACTGTAAGTCAAATTTCTAGGGACCAGGAAAAAATTCCACTTGGAGAGGTTTTGATTTTTGGCGGTTTCCAGTTGAGGAAACAAACACTTTTGTTGTGAGTGAAATTAGTTTGGGAAATTATAAATGAGGATATTCTGGGCCTAAACTTGCTCCTTGATGAGTTTACACCTTGTTGGACTTGAAGGCAGGGGTTCATTTGCCATATTTGTCTTTCACTTCCTTTCAAGGTGCATCAAATTCGTTGTTTTTATCATTTTCTCTTTCATATTGCAAGGAAATGATAACCAGAAGGCCTCAGAAAATTCGACTTACAGAAATGTTAGAGTAAAAGACGTTGTGCTAGGGAGGTTTTTAATGCATTGATCCTAAAGGAGTTCGTGGAATTCGTCAGACAGGGACTTGAAAAAAATTTGACTTAGGGAGGAATTCGACTTGAGGTTAGACTTACTGAGGTTCACTGTATAACAGGTAAAATGATGCATAGATTTTTCAAGTACAGTATAAATGTTCTGTAAATAAACGCTCCGAACTCATTTCTTTGGACCTCAAATCAATGCTAATATAATTTTTAAAACCGCTTCCGCATTTACTCAGACGTGAGACCTCATTGTTGTTTACGACGAGGTCTTCTGCTAAATTGCACTTTTCAAACATCGGCGATGATTTCGCGTGCGAGTCTAGGAAACATTTTCATTGCACTCGATTTCTTGAAAATCATGGAAGACCGTACATTTCTCGCATGTTACAGCTACCAAGACAATCTCATAAAATGTCTCAAAAGAACCCAGATTTTGCTGACATTAAAGTAAAAATGACGGAGTGGATTTATTCATTGGAATGGAATTTTAGACGGGAATGTAACCTAAAAAAAATTGTCTTTACGAAAAAAAGCATCATTCACTATCAATTATGCGAAGCCTTCAAATGTAAGACGTCGTCATCGATTATAAAGAAATACTTTGATGTATCAGAAACTATTTTTGTGAAAAAATGGACGAGCGTCGTATAGTTGACTGAACATCACGGGAAAGCAAAATGTGAGCAGCTTTCTGCCAAATTTTAAAATGCTCAATCAGAGGCAATATTTGCCATGAATCATTCAGCGGATGCCCTCTTTCAGCCACTTATTAATAACACGAGAATATTCAGCATGACGGAAATGCATACTCACCGACTCGGAAACCTTGAGCAGAAACTGTGGCTGCAGAAAATTGGAAGAAGCGCAAAATTGCACTGCTGACATGATTTGCTTTCACTGATCAAACGTCTAATTGGCCTAAATCTTTGATTGGACTGGAAAAGTAAAATTTGCCTATAGCTGCGACAATACTTCGGCATGAAATGCTGACGATAAAAGTCGATACTCGCTTGGAATATATGAACATTTGTACGTACAGTATCTGAGTCTTTCTTATCTATTCCTGCTTCTCTTATCTTTCGTTCTTTCAAAATACCGTTGTGAAGTGCATCCAGTATCAAGTTCCCTTCTGTAGAATTACGCATGAGTTACTAGACTATTTTTTTACCTTTCTAAGTGCAGTATTTTAAAATTCTACATCGGACGGCAGAATTATACGGTACTCGTATATCATCCTATCATCCTCGGAAGTTGTAGGATTGCAACTGAAGAATAACTAATGAAGAAGGAATGAATTTTAAAGACTTTTCTGCTCTTCTTTTTATTTCTGAATTCCCGAAAGTTGTTCTCCAAAAAGAGCTTTCTGAAATTTGCTGCTTTTCCCAATTTAAAAGATTAAGAAAAGAAAAACTGCCTGATTTTCAAAGAGAATTTTCGAACAAGTTGTCTCCAACCAATACAGTGGGCCCCCATCTTACGTCATCAATCCGTTCCAGGATGGACGTCATAACATGGGGCCGTTGTATGTTGAAACCCTATTTCCCTTAAGGTTACATTATAGAAAAATTAATTAGTTCCAGAAAAAAAATATTAAACTAAAATTACCTTTATATTTCAACTTTTTAATTCCTCCTAAACTTAAATTCCTCCTAAACAAATTTATTCAGCTATAATTAAATGCACAGGGCAGTACAGAACAAACAAAACTCAAAATCCCTCCTAAACACAATAATTCAGCAATAATGAAATGAACTGTACAGCACACACAAAATTTAAAAACTGCTCCAAACACAGCAATTTCCAAACTTAAGGATGATTTATTTCCTGT